TCAAGAGTCCAAATCGATGAGAAACATCACAGATTTCATCTTGTCATGTACAATAGTTTCCTTCGCAGCCAATATTTGGGATGTCACGCAATGTTTATCCCGAGAGTAGCAAGGGGGGCACATCCTAAGGAACGTCAGTCCGTAAAGGAGGCTACTAAGGTCAATTATGTGGTTCAAAATCTGGTAGGAATCAAAGAATCAAAATGGTGTGTTAAACACTCTGGATTTTCTTATCTATGACTAAACATGGATACATCAAATACAGCATATGTTCTTCATACAAGGTCAAGTGTATAATTATTTCAAACTCTTCTCATAGCCCACACTTAACTGAGTTAACTTACCCTCCGTTCCGGAAGCTGGCCCCACTTCAGCGGAAGCTTGAACTTCTTTGCGTTTTAATGTTTATTAACTTGTTTTATTATTATTATTATTATTATCATTTTTATTAAATAGTGCGTTGGAGAAGGTCCGTGGGAAGCGGAGTATTGTGATTTCACGTTCAACATTTCCTAGCGCGGGTCTTCATGGAGGACACTGGTTGGGCGACAACACTGCCACATTCAATGATTTGTATCTCTCTATACCAGGTGAATATGGGTGATTTTGATATACTGAAATGTCAAAACAAATTTAATTCAGAACGGGGACAATCCACGCCAGAGAAATTTGAATGCAGCATTGCAACTTTATTTCTGCTGCTAGGCCTTGTGCCTGCACTAATCCGGAACGAAAATGAAGCTACTTTGGAACCAACATGCAAATGATAACTTGTCTCCGGATAAACACACACAGTGTATTGGGTACACATGGCTCAGTCTACGTGAGCTGACATCATTGTACAGAGAAGGGTGTGTTTTCAGCATTAACTTTACAACAGCTGCATGCTTCTAGAATCCCGACCAGTAATTGGGTTTTCGTTGATTTCTTTCACAGGAATATTAAACTTTAATTTGTTCGGTGTTCCCCTGGTCGGAGCAGATATTTGCGGGTTTAACGGAAACACCAACAAAGACCTATGTGGAAGATGGATGCAACTTGGAGCTTTCTATCCGTTCTCGAGAAACCACAACACCATCAATGCCAATGTAAGTATTTAAAATTTAATCTCACTTTTACCAAGAGATCCAGAACGTAGTGATAGTTCTTTTGCCTGGTGATGAGTCTGTGTGTGGGTCACTTTTCAAAGAGTTTAATCGTGGCTGCCACAGATCAGAAAAAAGTCAGGGAAAAGTAAAATTCTTCAAGATCAGGGAAAAGTCAGGGAATTTCACCGAGAATTAGAGAAATTTACATCTTTGAAAGAAGTCGGGGATAAGGGAATTTTCAAATAAATGTAAAGTCCGTTCATCTTGCCTTGAACCTCTTCACAATGAAAGATGGTAAGACTTTCCTCAGTTTTTGTGATGTCGATGTTACCCAGGCATGTACATTGTTTACAACAGTTAGCAGATTCCTGACCAGCATATCCTTTCTCTTTTAAATTCCAGTTCAAATTGGTTTGTGAATTGAATAATCCATTTTTTCTTCCATTTCATTGTTTTCTAACATTTCACAACAGACGCGAGAGCTGTTAGATTGATAGAAATAAGTTTAATGAAATTAAACGATCAGCTGATATTGGGTTTCCAAAAATAAATATAAATCTTTTCTCCATGTCACCGAAAGGAACAATGAATTCTTGTACACTTCACTTGCTGAAAACCTAATGTTATGATTGAAGGGGGTGGCTGTGAGTGGAAGCTGGAGGCTATTATCAGGGTTCATTTGTGATATTGTCAATTGGAAAATAATTGGGGAGAGAAGGGTTGGAGGATTTTGGTTCTGTTACGATAAAATTTACGTTGATTCCCCCCCCCCAAATACGGCTCTGTAATATTCTTTTGATCCCCTCCCTCATTGGCAGTTAATTTTCGATATTCCCCCCTTTTATACTCTGTTGGCGACGAATTACCTCCCCTCCGTTCCCCCTGAATTCCCTGAAAGCCCCCAAAAAATCCTCCCCCCTCCCTCTCTCCCCCGGCTATAAATACTGACTGGTCCCTTGGTACGAAACAATCCGTCGTCTCACTCGAAACGCATCTTTTTACTGTTCTCAGCCTCAGGACCCCGCTGCTTTTGGAGACGACTTTGCTCATATGGCACGTGATGTGTTACTTATCCGTTATGCATTGTTGCCGTATTTGTACACGTTATTTGCGCATTCGCACATGCGAGGAAGTGCTGTGGCTAGGCCTCTTTTTTACGAGTATGTATAAACAGGACACTAAAATTGATCTCACGATAGGTTTGCTTGCAGTATCGGTGTTACTTACAATTGTGTGAGAATCGGGGAATTCAACTCCTTTTTGCCTTTCTCTTAGAAAGCGTTGCAAAGTGCAAGTTTCTCACTTCCCCCTCCATCGGGCCGCCCCTCTCAGCATTCAAAAGAAATTGCGGGGCAATCTCCAATCGATGAGAACTAATTCCATGACTGGGATTTAAAGATTTTCCCGATACTTGAAAATCGAAACCGAAATGTTCGAGTACATTATGGAACGAGGCTCATGTTTTGATGCAAAACATTCAACTCATGTTTTACAATTAATGTCCACTAATTCAGTATTTTTTTTACCTCAGTCAGATGTAAATGTCCACGCTTATTCTTTCTTTTGCGTAGTTACTGTGATCGATATATAATTCTTTAAAAGATCATGCTGACAAATCCAAACCAATCACGTGTTTTCGAGCATGGTTCTGATGAAGAAGAACCATCTGAAAATATTCCTCACTTCCATCATTTGGCTTTGTTGCTCAGTTGGTAGTACAGGCCAACTTGTGGGTTCGAATCCCGTAGGAGCCTGACTTTGCAGCGTTCTTTCTTGCAGCCCACTTGCTGGGATCATTTCTCTACCTCTAACACTTTAGTAAAGTTTCCTCGAACTTCACTCCTTGAATTGTTAGCACATGTCAAAACAGGTCACTGTGATATCAGTGGTCGAGAGAAATCTTAGGACGGTAATTGTAATGGCCCTCTCTCCTCGACATGTCTAGATTTCCAAGTGACAGTCAGACATATGCTATTGACAAGCAGTTCCTCCTTGGTCCGGCCTTGCTAGTAACACCCGTTTTAACACAGGTAGGCGCACGTTGGGTTTATTGTGCTGCAAACAGTGGCTTTCTTTCGGCNTTTTTTTTTTTTTTCTATCGGAGAAGCACCTTAAGCTTGGTCTTAGTGCTGGAAAACAAAAGCCGCGATTATATGTTTTTAATTTGTATTCTTATTAAATCTAGACCAGGGGCAGTTTATTGTGTTGCCTCGCTAACCGTGCTAACCGGAGCAGCTGAGGGTTCCCCCTAACAAAATACCAAACCTCGCGTTCAAATCTGCTCGGTTGCACCCTTTGTTAACATTAGATTAAATGTACTTTTTTTCTTTTGCTGCGCTATTCGATCTTACCAGCCACCGTGTCATTCCTAGATTGTTTTACTTATTTCTTCCATTTCAGATCCTATTGTCAGCGCTCCATATTTATACGTGACGTACACAGTTTCCGAGGTCAGTCGTAGGACACTCTTCATTTAGATCATGCGAATTGTAATTTAGGCAAGGTTAATTTGTAAATCTTGCAAATGCTGCAGTTTTGAGGAGGTGGCGAGGCAATTTCTCAATGTGATGTCCTTTATTTTTGCTCTTCTTGTCTAGGATGTAGCGCAAAAAAGGTTTCATCTTTTTCTATTGCAAATTAATTCTATTTAGATATTGCTTTCAGGGGACACTTAAAGCAACAGTGGACTCTCAGAGTTCGTACCATCCCGAGCCATCGCTGATGCTTTTGGAAGTGTTAGGTGTCCCATCTGCTCCCAATTCTGTTACCGTGAATGGTATTCCGATTAAGAGTTTCTCTTACAGCGCCTCAACTAAGGTAATTTATTAACCCTTAGTGATTAGCATCCAATTTCTCGATACAGTATCACTGCTGAATCAAACACTCAAGTCAGGAGAATTCATGAAATGGTCACCACCTTAAGAATCTCTTAATTGTTAGACAAGTTTTCCCGTCAGCACCATAGGAAATATATAAAGAACAGTATGGAGGAGAAAACGTTGTGCTCTCGGCTTGGTACTGTAATAAACGTTAAAATTGTCAATAAAAACCATTACGGATATCTTGCTATACTATGGGATATAGTGATAACCAATCTTGATGAAGAAATAATTCTTGTAACTAGGTTAATCAGTGCCTGAAAAACTAGAGTTATTTGCCTAGTTGTGCGGGCCAGTGAACTTACGACAAAACACTTCTGAAGTTCTGCAAAGTTTTCAGCCCCACACATTTCGAGACGTGAAAAAATGCGCACGTGGTGTGACAGATTGGCTTACATGTTCAGTTACTCGCTGAACAATGGAGTTTTAGATCCACGTTTGGTGTGTTAACCGCAAACGTCAAACCGCTGTTAGCAGTTTGAGGTTAAAAGTCAGAAGTTTCGAGATTTTCAGCTTTTTAGATGGACGTCCGCTTTCACCTGAAAAAAAAATCAATATTATTATGCACCGCCATCTCGAAATGTACCAAGGAAGGAGGTCTTTCTTTTCAAACACAAAACGTGGCGAAATGTTCGATTTTCTAGCGTCCTAAATGGATTGATTAAAAAGAAAAGACTTCATCTGAAATATAGTTACAGGACATACGTAGGAACTTTCGTACAGGAAGAAAAAAAGCGCCGAGGGAGTGAAACCACCTGAAACGTCCATGTCTGAAGTTCCAACGAAGACCGCTAGAATCTTGTCACGTGATTCCTAGCGGTTTGCGGTCACACGTATTCAGAAACAAACGTGGATCTAAAACCCTTTAATAAGATGGCGGACTGAAATACGGATGGACGGGCGAAATGAGTGTCTAATTGCTTTACTAATTGTTGTGTTCTTTCTGGCTAGGTGGTCAAAGTAACCGGTCTCGACCTTCCCATGGACAAAGGCTTCACTATCCAGTGGTCATGAACAAATGACGCGATCCGGATAGGCAGTTACGAGAAGTGCGAAGAGTTAGAATTAATTTGCGAAACTGTGACGAATTAATTTTTTCCACAGTTTTAAAAAAATTATCCTGTTTTCATGTCATTGCAATTTTCTCAAGTTGTCCTTACATTGGGACAGATTTTAATCAAGCGGTCGTTCAGCAAAGACGGATTTTCAAGTTGAAGCTCTGATCCATTTTCTAATATGTAGCGGCAGTTGATCCGAAGTTATCCGCCTGTTTAAAATGGAATTAAAAGTTTATTAATTGAATTTACAATTTTGGAATTCCTACAGTAACGCATCAGATGCCGTGCTTAGGGATGAGATCTTGGCTCATTTTCATTGATATCAAAAGCCCCTTTCAGAATTACCCTTGGCCTCTTTTTCAAAACGAGGCCTGGTGCTCAACCATTCTTGTGAGTGAAAGTGAGTTTAATTTGCTTGTGAATGAAAACGTAATATCAAATCAAAGGATGAGCACCAGGACTCGTTTTGAAAATGAGGCCAAGGGTAATTCGGAAATGGGCTATTAATATTATAAGCATTTTTATAACAAGAAAAAATTTTTTTAAGAAATGCGACAATATTGTGACTTAAAGTTAATTGTCTATTAGGTAGTGTTTTGACGTAGAGTTTTAAGGTTCGTTTAAAAATGAATGTTCATTCACAATTATCAAATAAAAAAAGTTGTTTGAGTGCAAGTCTTGTGTAGATGGTGTAGGTGTCAGTATACTAAACAGCTAGCTTGCGGTTTCGTGGTGCGCAAAGGAGCGTAGAAATGAGTTCACTGGTTCCTAGTGGTAATACCTTTCACCGATACGAAAAACAGAAAAATGATAGACATCTTAGATTAGTCTATGACAGCGTACATGTGAGCGAGATATTTTTAATTTGGACCGCACAGCACTTTTAATCGGTCGGTTGACCCGAATGTGGAAACTGCTCTTAAGTCATGCTGCCCACGCTAAGGAAAATGGAAATTATGAATTTACCTGAATTATGGTAGATTAGGGTAAAGCGACATGGCAAGACAGATTGTCCAGTACTGTCAGACCCTCAGATGTTACATAATTCAGATGGGGCCAAAATGGTAAAAAGGGGTCAATTATTGACCAGGAGATAATCCAACCGTGTTTAGAGATGCTTAAATATGAATTCTTAAAGGAATTTTCAATCTATCGACATTCCATTGCAGCTTAAAAGAAAAAAAAAAAAAATGCTGGAACCTGACAGTTGTTACAATTGCCCCACATAATTAGACCAGTGTGGCACAAAGGTCCTTGCCCTTACAATTTGATTTTTTCTCTTCGAGCGGAGATGTTCGGCCGTGAACATGCCATCGCTTAGCCCCTGGCGCAACGGCTCGACAACAACACCAGAGTGCAACAATATGGCTTCTATCGTACGGCTCCTCGATCAGATCAATGATCATTTCGGATTTTCAAATGTACGTTGTGAACTATAGAGAAGACTTTCGTGAATATGGCCGCTATAGTCCAGAAATTATTTTCTCACGTTATAAATTTCAAGGAACAGTCCAATACAAGTTTTATTCTTTGTCATAATGCGGAGAGGCCCACATCACGGAAGTTCGTTTTTGCTTTCTTTGAAGTAACTATGGAGAATAACATACTTTCACAGTATGACGTCATCTAGCTGCCTTGGCTTGATCATGCGCATTATTCCCAAGGGAGTGAGAATGAGTTTTGAATTTGCCCTCTGAAAATCACTTATCATTCTCCGTCATTCCTCCCGACTTTGAAACTGCAACCTTAAGGACGGAAAAGAAGCGTATATATTCACTGGACCTTCCGTCACTTCGATATTGCACTCTCTCGTATGGGAACTTCGTGGTTACGAACCATGGCAGCTCTACATGTTTGTTTGGCTTTTCTATTACTTCTCACAAGTTCTGCTGTGGCATATCGTAAGTTGAAATTTGATTGTGGTTCTTCATCCCTTAGAATTAAACTACATTATCATTGGGAATATGAATTGCCATATAATGTCGGTGTTTGGGTTTTACAGGGCGGCCGCTGGGGGATTTTATAAACCACTACGAAACCCTGAATTATGACACAGCTCGAGTTGTTCGGCAGCACAGTCGTGTGAGGCGTTCAAGTCCAAACAGCGATCATGTCGTTGAATTACACTTAAAAACCGAACAGAGGTAAGAAAAGACGTCCTATTCATGTTTCAGTGAATTTTTATTTAGAAGTAACAGTTTCAAGCCGCAAATAACCTTATAGCTGTGGCTAAATTTTCTGCTGAAAGAAGAGCTGCGAGTTAATCTCCTGTCTAACTTGTCACCTAACTAAAACTTCGATTGTGTACAAACAATGTGCGGAATTGAATGAACCAAAGTCTTAGTTTCTTTTTATTTAAAGTGGACATAGCACAAGATCAGTAGTATAATACAAGGGAGGTCTCTTGAGTGTAGTGACACGACAATCCGTGTTATTTTTAGTAGTGTATCGTGTCAGGCCTTTTTTTTTTTTCTTTGTTTTTTTCAGTAAACCTAGTAAGTTCCCACGCGTAGCAGTATCACGCTTTTTTAACTCTGGTAGTTTAGAACACTAGGATATGATTTTTCTTGGACGTAGGCTTAGATGCTAGTTTTTTTTTTATTAAGTCTTGTTTCTTAGATAAGGTTTAGATTAGGCTTTCAGCGACTAAAGTTTATTTGGATAAACAAAGTGTACGCATCTTAAAACAGTTCCCCAGGGTATTGTGAAATGTCAA